CTATAAAATAAAACGAATAAAATTATCTCTTTGTGATTAGTAAGAGCAGATACATTGTATTTCACATTTTAATCCTACAAAGATTGTGTTAACAGGTGTTCTTTTGATAGATTTCTGAAACACTGATTTGACTCGTTATTAAATAGTAAAGGAGAAAAATACATCGGTTTCTGTTGAAATGTTTCTAATTCCAATTTTTTTACTAGTAAGAATCCGAATTACTAAGACGGATTATGTATCATCTACCTTCACACAGGACATCTCATTGTTATTTCTAAAGATCAGATAAACGCTGTCGAGTTCAAATCTAGATTCGAACTCGCATGTTTAATATAGTCGATAGGATCTTGCGAGAACTTTACACCCGTAATAATCCTTCAATCTTCTATGATTGAATATCTGAATAAAAAGTAATGTTGATATTAATATATAAGTATATATTCGTTTGAAAGAAAAAAATATTTGTAGGATCGACCAATTGATACTCCTCGTTTAATTGAATATTTTCATGAACTTGCACGAATGGATCCAAATATAACAACAATAACAAGATTGAATCGTGATCAATTAATAGAAATTGAAATTCATATATTAACAACAATTGATCATATATTTCCTCAATATACTCCTCATGTGTTTATATCTTATTTTCTTCGATTTCTTAGTTAGTTTATTTCTTTGTTTTTCATTTTGTTTTCAAAAAAACAACAATTGCAAGAATTTAGGTGATGAAATGAAAATGATCAGTGAACGTTTACATAATGCATCAATGCTTTTACTTGTTCATATTTATTTACAATGGACATCACTTATTGAAATTTTAGCAAAAAAAGAAAGTGGATTATCAACAGTAAATAAAATACAAATGTATTCAATAGATTTATTTTATTTTATTTTATTTTGATAATAATCTATTTATTAATATTAGGGAAAGTGTTACTCAACGATTACGTGATCCATTATTAGTTGGTTCGGCTACAATTCTTGCAGCATCAAAAATGTTTTGTCATGGAATGAATTCACAAATTCATGATAAGGTTTTATTGATTTTTATATTTGAAAAAAAAAAAAAAAGAAATATTTATTTTATTTTTCGAAATAATAGATCATTAGTTTATTTGTTAGTCTTCTTGGTATTGATCCAATGCGTATTTATATGGCTCAATTTTTTGCCGAAGAAGTTCTAAAAAAATCAGTCAATGTTCGATTATTAATGGGACAGACGGATAATTCAAGTTCGAGAATTTTAGTTGATCGTGAACATGATTTTGATGATGAATCAATGATGACATTTTCATCACCCTAGATCAATTTCTTTGTCTTCTCTTCAATTCAGTTTGCTCTTGTTCGTATTGAAAAAAAAAAGATCAATGAATTGTACTTTGTCGAAATTCAAAATTCGTTTACTATTAAAAAAATTCAAATCCGTCATTGATAAATTTTTCTCTCAATTTAAATATAACTTTGATTTAATTTTCACTAGTTAATTAGTCTCTAACCAATAGTAAGCTGATATATAAAACATTTTCAAGTATTTCTATAGAATAGAAATGTCTTTCTATCATATATCCCACTGTAAGTCTGTCTAAAACATTATCTAACAAATACAATGATAAAATTAGGATCTTTTAATCGAATCGTACAATATAAGACAAGTATTAAATTACGTTTGTTAAACCATGTAAGTAATCGAAACATGGGCTTCTGATGGCATCATTATCAATAAATATTACGCATACGTTTTCGAATAAATCAATGTTACACTAAAAAATGAACTGGACAAAAATTGATGCTAGAAAAATGCATACCGAAAAAATATAGAATCTCGATTAAAAACAATGTCAAACATGTGAAATCTTCATTTTATATACCTTTTGTTTATTTTGTTCTTGCTTTGTTAATATTTTCAATTGTCCAAGTCTTCTATCATTTTTTTTATCTAATCAAAGTTAACAAGTGAAAGTATTTTGAAAATGAAACTTTGACATTGCAATATCATACACAGTTATATTTATATCTTCAGTCTATTGCAAAGAAAGAAGAGACAGATTTTGAAACGTATTTATCAAGAGTTTTTCATTGATTGAAAAATAATATCTTCTTGTTTGTAGTAGTTATAGTATTGAATGTATGTACTGTATAACAATAATCTATTGATACGGAAGTTAATACCGAAACTAAATAAATGCTCAGTTACACAACACTCCTGACAAAACAAGGTCATTGGCAAACTATTTATTTAGTTTTCTTCCCTGTTCAACTACATTGGTTTTGTAGGTAAGTTTTCTTTGGATCATTGTATTAGTGTTAGTGGTTCAAGTTCAGAACCATCGCTAATTACTAATATAATTCATTAGGCAGATTGAATATAAGCTAGTTGGAAATGTAAATATGCAAATGCTTACTTATCTATGACACAATGATACAGACTTGTTAATTACTCCACTAACTTAGTACTCCAGAATCATTGAAACAAAGACGCAAGAATAAGTATCAGTACACATTTTCATTATTCTATATCTTGAATCATTAGTAAGCTAAAAAGAATCGATTAACTTTGATTTTTCATGATTTATCGGATCTCTAATCAATCACAGGTCGACAATAGGCATTTGTATCACAGCATTGTAGCCAATGTTTTCAAAGATTTCCAAAACTAAATTATTACTGTCCTGCATAGCCCACTTCATGTAATACATGGTGGTTGGTTTTTGATGGGACAAACAGATGAGACAGAAAACAGTTGAAATATGTGAAAGTTTTTATATTAATAAATTCCACTCAAAAAATATTATGTGAACTAATCGTGTAACACTCTCGACAGATAAGATCGGCAGTTTGGCTCTCCTTTACAGTTATTACTCATACGTATATGAAGAGAAAGCCCACATGTTTCTTACATGTTTCAATACATTCTTTTTACTTTGACTAGGTAGAAAAAATTCTGGAGCCATTCTTTTCTGTGATCATTCATATTTTTTTGCTCATATAGCTGTACACTGTGTTCTTCAGCTTTTGTTTTTTTGACATCGAACATTTCTTTCTAGGTATACACAATAGGAACAAATGTACCTTGCTTTGCTCTACAAACTCTATATCGATGATGGTGTGAGTGTGGAGTATGTGACTAAGGTTGTTGATGTTCCTTCTTCACTCAAATCCACATCCACAAGTACACCAGGTAGTTCTATCATTCTTATTGTCTAGCTAAATTGTAACGAGCAGCTTTTAAATGTTTATGCCTTTCCTGTTCATGTGAATCATCTGGTCTGGAGAACAATATACGAAACGATAGATTTGATTGGATCAAATTTTATATCATTGAAATACTGAGTACAAAGAAATAGTTAATTTAAATTTTTAGATTTCATGCAAATTGATATGATTAGCAGTCTTAATCATAAGTATATTATTATTTAAGACAGCAACATTTGTTATCTGTGAATCATATTGTTGTTGTTCTAGAATACCTCCATCATTCGATATATGTAATATTTCTGCTTGTTTATTTTTAATTACAATCCATTGATCATAATTAATCGAGTAACACTGATATCCTCCATCGAGCACAATCGACCAGATGCACTGAAGAGTTGTCGCTGAGCGAAGTTCGAAACGCCCACATTTTCCATCATCATGAACGATGATCATAGCCAGTGAACTATTTTTGAACTCAAAATCTTCAATCCATTCGTTTTTGTTACATGTTAGAGGTGGTTGCCATTGTTTCATATATTGAATAGATGGAAGAGAATATTCAATGATATTTGATCCTTCTCCCAATTGCCAGGTCGATAAGAATAATGTTGTATTAGAGCATGTTCCCCGATACCAATTCTTATCCGAAGAAATTTGACATTGTGTGAGTGTCATTGTTTTTTCATCAAGAATAAACAAAATTTTGTTGGTAACGATGATGAATCGAGCAAGTGTTGATGACCAACACATTCCCCATATTTCACCAAATGTCCATAGTGTCTTTTTGGTAACTGTCAATCGATCGTTAACTAAACATAGGTTTGATTCATTTTCTATTAATACATGTTTTTCATTGCTGGCCATTGCAGAATTGCTAGCCGTATAAGACATTGTTCGAGATGCCGTTCTGAGCGGAAGAAACGCATTCGATTTAAGTACAATAAGATTATCATCAATCGTGAAAGGATGAATAATGAGGCCAAGATTTTGAAATTCATCAATAGCTTGTTTAATCGAACGAATTTTTTCTGTGATCAAATCAATTTGGTCTTGAGTTGCATCTTGTTCACGAATTAATGTATCAATTTTAAATTTCAATCGGTCGAGTTCTATTGTTTTATCTTTACTTATCTCATTGATAAGCTGCTTACGTTTTGTCTCGTAGAATCGATCGACTATTTGATGCGCTTCACGACGCCATTCTTCAAGATCTTTGAGACAAGATGATTCAGTCAAAGATTCACGTCTGATTCGGTCCAATAGAGTATTGATCTCATCTGCAAGTGGTATTAATTTTGTATTGAGCAGATTGGAGTGTTCATTCAAATGGTTGATACATAAATGTTCTTCACAGCAATGGCATAGTGCGAAAGACGAACGTTTACATGTGACAATTGCACATGTTCGTACTGTGGATGACGCCATATGTTGTTGTTTGCAGGAGAAGAAAGCTTGCAATAAACAAGAAAAAAAAAGGTGCGTTATGTAGTCAACAGTATTTGTGAAAGAACGGGAAAGATTCTGTTTTTATTTATTCCTTACTTCCTACAATTATATTAGAAGAAGAAGAAGAAGAAGAAGAGAAAAACAGATCTAGTAGTTGTACTCTGAAGCGAAATCATTCATTAAAAAATTCATTTCTCTAAAACTCGAGTGTGAGTTTACGTGTGTGAGTGATAGATATAAACCTATCACAACGCCTTGCATCATCACAACGAGGCAAACAATTCCATTGGTCCAATTCTTTACGAATTATATTGCACAAAACGAACTGTGACCATTGGTGACCAGTCAATTTGTTGCAGGACTGCCGACTCCGCAGTACAACCCATCGAAAATAGCCCTATTTTTTGGCGTCACTTTCAACGTATTGTACCTTAGATGTGTCAGCTCTGAATCGTTGCAAGACAAATCATCACATAGACAATTTACTAATTGGGCGTGGATATGGATGAATGAATGTGAGTCTTTCCTTTATCCATACTCTTACGTAATCTCTATGGACTTTCTATAATGGTTTGCAAGATGTTGAGAAATAAGCTTTTGAAAATTTTTATTCTTGTACTGGTTGACAACTAATGGATCAAGAAATCTATCCTGAGTGGGATGTAGGTATGAATATTTTCTGCATTTATACCTACCCCCACACTCTCACAACTTATTTATTAAATCGAAGTACTTTAAACATGGTAGGATTTTTTTCACCTCTTTTACACAGATTGCAATCAAAAACAAATTTCCTAGAATGTCTTATTTCTTAACACAGTTCGGTTATTGATCACGAGTCGTCAATAAGAATACTTATATTTGATTCAAAGAAAAGCGTATGATTAATTGTAGTAGTATCAATTCATATAACTGCCTGTATTCTTCATAAACAAGAATCTTAACTGATCGGACACGGTGGAAGGTTCATGAAATGCTAAATTGATGTAGTATTGATAAAAATAAAATTCAAGAATATCATTGATGATATTTTCCATATAAAATCTTGTTTGTTTAAAAAATATCTTAGTGGTTCACAGTTTAATAGTTCATGAATATGATATTCCTGTTTTTTTTCTTTAAATATTTTGTTCATAACGAACAACTTCAATCTTATTTCATTGAAAGAAAAAGGATAAGAGAAATCATTATAATTTACAATATGAAAGAGAATAATTCTACAAGCGATATGAATTTCATTAACAGAATTCAAACTTTACTAGAATATGATGATAATAAAACTAAATTCCTTCAATCACTAATAGAAATATTTCAATAAAAAATGTTTTTACTTTTCTTCTCTATTGAGATAGTGCATCAACTATAGTCAATAATAATCTTAGGTTTTTTTCAAATTCTAGAAAGTTTCATTCGCTTATGAATAAATTGATTGATTAGATGATGATCGAATGATCACAATATCAACCACAAAACCAGACAACAAACAATATTAAATGTTTCAATAGTTCATAAAAATCAAAACAAAAGAGCAATTACAAATAAACTCCTGTTTTTGTTTCATTTTGATTATGTATAGCGAGTGATGATAAAGTCAATTTCACTATTTTTCACTTAATAAAAAATAAAAAAGTTATTTTTATAATGAAAGGAAGAAAAGAAGAAAGAATATCTCTGCTTTTCAGTTACCCTATGGTATGGAGTGCTTTCTAGCGACAGATTCAATAGCCCGATATATTTCCTACACTTTGACTAGCCGTAGCTCTGGACAGAAAGCTGGCCTGACGCAAAGTTCGTGGGCTCAATTGCTTAGGCTTTTCATACAGACTAACCAAACATATACTAGCCATAGCAGTATATGTATGTCACAACATAGTCAGCATGCTATCGAACGGGTGATCCGAGATAAATAGCCAGTAGTGACTCATCCAGGGTCATTTCATGAAAAGTGATATTGAGGTTTGAACATAGTACATTGTGGATACGTGTCGAACAACATAGCTAATCAGCCATAGTAGCTATTTTTGATAAATAAGGATGTGAGTTTTTGTTTCAGTTTCAGTTCTTTCTACACCCACAGCTACCGCCATATTTGAATATCTACGGAAAAGATTGTATCCTATACTTGTCATCAAACTATGATGATGTCAATGTCTTTTGAAATCCTAGGATTGCTTCAATGGTTGAAGTTGCTCGAGTTCCATGAGTGAGGTTACACTTTGAAGAGTTCCATGAGTTCAGAACTCACAGAATCCAGTCGAGTCTGGCTTTTATCACTTTTAGATGATTATTGGATGAAACGGCGAAATGATAAAACGTCAAAAGGATCCGCACATATCAATGGACTAGGGTTTTGTTCGTGATTCGGTTCTATGAGCTGTTTTCACATATTGAGATGTCTTAATTTCTATATTATTAGATAAGAAAACATTTGAATATCCATTTGGTATTTGTTTTCAAACGTTTGGAACATTATATAAGGCCATTAATTGGTTAAGGACAAAGAATAGTATGCTTATTCAACTGAGGTCTAGTCTCTTGGAAATTTGCTCTCCTCATTCATCGAAATGGTTCAGACAAAACTGAGATAATATTCATAGTCAACACCATTATCTCTATATTTTGATATGTGTTTGACTTAAAACGATGAGAAAATATTTTCAAGCGCGCCGTATGATGCGCAGGTGCAATTGATTTCACTGTCGAATTAAGACGAGTAAATACGCCCATATTATAATCCATGATTGACTTAACACCGAAAGGTACTTTTTTTTAAAAACGTCTTAGGGAGAAAAGTACCCTTATCGACTATTGTTCTATACTTGTCTAAAAATCAGTAAAAATTTGATGATCCAAGTTTAAAAGTATAATGAAAATAGTTTAATAGTTTTGGCTTTTTCAAAAAAAAACAAAAATTAAATTCATCGAATGAAAATTGTTCGACAGTATTGAAACTAATCGAGTGATTTTAATTTTTTTCTGGAATAATTAAATTCATGGAATCAAAATGGTGAATAAGTCATAAAACTAATGGGCTGATATTATGGTTTTTTTGAATAATCATATGCATAGAATGGAAATGGTATATAAGTAATGAAATTAATGAGATGATATGATGTTTTTATAAATAATCAAATTTATTACATGAGCGTAGTGCGAAAGTAATAAAACTAATGTAGCGAATTTTTGTTTTATTTTTAACATAGTCAAATGGTTTATTTATTTTTCTGAAGAAAATTCTCAAAATAACAATTTAAATGAATCTTTTTTTCATTTTTTTAATACTCTACGATCGAACTTTCTCTAAGAATAATATTTTTCTCTAATCGAGTCTGAATACATAACGATTACATAAGATGAATGAGTGAAAAAATAATCAACCAAGAAAGAAAAAACGTATAATGACGAAGATATATGAAAGAGAAGACGAGAAGAAATACATAGGCATTAATACAGATGATGATAATATACTGTACGGCTGCAGGGGCTAAAGTATGAAATGCCCATTCATATACGTGTCATTTGTCATTTAGACAATTTTTTAATTCAAAGTAGTCTTTTGATATTGTTTTTTAGTTTTTTGGATGTATAATCGAGGGAAGCAAACAACATTGAAAGTATAAGAAAAAAAAACACCTGTATGCAAATGGTATATATATATATATATATATATATATCCGTACTCTATTACATTCATTTCATATACATTTTATTAAGTTTTTCTTCGTTTCATTTCGAACGAATGGCGACAATTCGGTATATACATGCATATTTACTTCTGTCATTCGTTACTGTTGGTTTGAGCAGTATGTTTCAAGATGATTCTGATGAACAAGAAATAGATACAATGCGTAATATGATGACACGTGATGATTGTGCTAGTAATCTGTGTAAATCAAAGTGGGGTTATTGTGGAACGGGACCAGATTATTGTGGTGATGGTTGTTCAGCGGGACCCTGTTCTGGTGGTAACGGTGGAAATGGAAACAATGGCGGCGGCGGTGGTGGTTCCATCATCACAGATCAAAATTTTGCCTGTACATTCAACACAATAGACGCTGGAACGAGACAAAGCCGACTCAATGGCCTTAGAAATTCAGGTTGGAACCCATCGAACAAGGATGAAGCAGCTGTTTTTCTTGCTCATGTCTTCCACGAAACTGATGGTCTCAAAACAATCCGAGAATATTGTGCTCCAGGTAAAGATTTATTAAAAACAACGAATTTAAACATTTCTGCTTAGTCACTATCATGCTACGAACTCATTTAACTCACCATTTTGTATTATGTTACTTTAGAAGATTTATGAGTAATAGAAACATCTCTTGTAATTTATCTGTTCGTTTAAAACGTTAAGATTTGACAAATTAGAATATTGGTAAACTTGAAGGATTATCTTAACTTTGACATAGTTTGATCGGAATTTTATAAACTCCATAATAAAGATTTTCAATAGTACAGAAAAGAATTCATACTGAAAAGAAAACGGGTGCAGATATGGTTGTAGATGTCAGTGAAGAGAAGGTCTACCACACTACACATACCACATACCCTTCCCTTAAAGCAAGTTTAAAAATTAGCAAAATAAACGCCTTTTTATGACTTTGCATGAACTAAAAAAAAGGATTTAATTTGAAAGAAAACTCGATCGAGTTAAATTTCAATACTTTCATATAAATGCTGAGTAAAAATATTGATTCATATAATACTAAGATATTTTAAGAAGAGAAAATTTGGTATTCTAATCAGAATTGAATATCAATTAGGTTGTGGCTCTCATTATGCTGGATCATGGTGTGGTGTTCAAGGTGCGCCTGGTAAATTGTACTATGGTCGTGGATGGTTCCAACTATCGTGGCCATGCAACTACTATGGAGCTGGACAAGCTTTAGGTATAGATCTGCTTAACAATCCAGATTTAGTTGAACAACAACAGGATATAGCGGTAAAAACTGCAGTTTGGTTTTATAATGCAAATAATATGGCTGGACCAGCTAAGCAAGGTGACTTCGCAGCCACTACTCGAATCATTAACGGAGCATTGGAATGCAATGGAGGATCAGGATATAATAATCAAATGACTCGAGTAGCAACATACAGACGAATTCGATACTGCTTTGGCATGGGAGAACCAAATAGAAATCCAGTGTGTTAATCATACAGTTTTTTTTTTTCTTGATCAATATAATAAAATTTTATTGTGTGCTACCGTGTTTGGTACAAATCTGTACTCACAGGTAGTCCACAAAATATTCGGACGCCTAACTATATATTTTTTTTCTATGGGTCGATTTGTTCAACAATGATAATGAATTACTTTTCCTTTCTTCACAAAGGATCTAAACTTTCATTTTCATATGGAATAGAGTACAAATTGAGAGCTATTAAGTACTCAAGAGAAAATATATTTGTTCGCTATTTAAAAAACAATTTTAATATTTGTACTCGTATCACACAAAAGGAAAAATACAAAGAAAGAACTAATATATGTCTGAATACTTTTTGGACTACTTGTATTTTAACGTTCGAGCATTATTCATGCGTATAAATATGTTATTACAATTAGTGAAGTACCCCAGTTTAAACAGTAAAAATATTCCAATGTCTAATAATCGTGTAAAGACGACGAAATGTCAAGTAGTACACGACATACAATGACTGAAAGAATAGTTTTTTTTTACTTTGATAATCATGCAATATGAAGCAATTTATACTGACTTGGTCTCGTATCGTGTCAATTATATTTCGAAGTCTCATTAGTAAATTAGCCAATGCCTTAGTGAGACTTTCAGAAAGCTTCAGGAATACTATCACGATAGAAAAAGGAAGAAATATTGTTGTGTTGTCTTGTTATTTTCTTGGAGTTCATTCAGCAATTCATCAAAACAAATGAAAAGATTTTGATTGATTCGTAACTAAGCTTCTTGATCTCAAAAGTTAATCAAGTCCATAATTATACCAATGAAACTTAATGATACTTGTCGAAATATCGATACTGTTAGGACAATGTTGGACGCTTTCTTTAAAATAAAAACAAAGAGCGTAACAACTTTTTGAACATCCTATGTATATTACTTATGTAAGTTTGTTAATCCAGTTGTTTATATGAATCATATTATCTGTATAATATAAAATGTAATCATGATAAATAGAAGTCATTAATGAAATGCCAGAAATTATCTTTAATATTTCTTTTTTGATTCAGTACGATAAATTCATCAAATAAAATTTGATGAAGAACATAAGACAAGGAAGAAAAAACATAAACAAGAATTAAAACACAACAAAGCATGACTCAATGTCCAGTTTTATACAGTCAAAAGAAACAAAAAAAATTAATACAATTTATTAATCAAAAATAATAAATTTTAAATTATAATTATCTGTTTTGATCTCGGTCGTATTCATCAGTATTAGACAGAGAAAAAAATAGATTTTAATAATTGTTGCATTTCAACATGTTTGTTGTTTTTGTATTGTTGTATTTGTTTTTTCTTATTAATATTAAAAAGATGAGTGATAACGTCAGTATCTGTAAGCTTGCAGTAGCGTATCTTTTGTTACATAAAAGTGCAGAAACTCATAAATATTTCAAATTATATATTGGATTCTGTCCTAAAGTTATTGAGATTTAATATGTGTTTCTTTGATGAAAAACAAAAAAATATTCAAGTCAACTATAATGTACAAGTTTATTTTAAATAATAACTCGGCATGGACAAGCGTCACAGAATTTCGTCTTTTTTTTTAATGTTTTAATGGTGAAGGTTTAAGAACTTAATATTTCAAATTGTGATCGTAAAAATCCATCTACTTTCTAATTCATGAGTAGTATAAAGACGGTTTTATCGTTCTAGTTTGTCAGTTTTATTCTCATAACGAAATCACATTAGAACTTCTGCCTATTTTTCAGGCAAAAACTGTCATATAACAATGTGCAAAACTATATTTTCTTAGTGAATTTAGTCAATAAACGTCTTTTTAGAGACCTATCGGACGAAAAGTGAGATTTATATCACTCGTCTGTTGAGTATCTCAGAGCTTGCAACATATTTGATAATCTGTCAATAGTGAACTTTCGATTGTAGAGACAGTTTTCTTTACTTTTGTGATTTCGGATTCTCCTTATGCGGGAGTGACTGATGACTGACCATGCCGATCTATATTTTGTTCAATAAAAGAAAAAATTAATTAAAATTTTTCAACGATTGGTGATTTTTTTTACTTTTTAAACATTCACTTGTCAGTTTTCGTTGTATATTCGTATTAATTTCAGCTTTTTTCGTTAATAATATATTTATTTCATATTTGGTTTTTATTTGATTTAGATGTAAAATAAGTTAATACAGGTAACACTTGATTACCATATGTACTTCTTAAATACAAAGTACTTTTCAATGTAACTGGATCAAATCGATTGAATAAATTGTATATGGCCAATATACTAAATAATACTATCCAAGATAAATAAGTGATTGATAAAACATTCTTTTTTAATTGAACTCATCGTCGACATTTATTTAATCGTGTTCGATATGCATATAATCTTCGTAATAAAATAATTGTAGCAGAAAAAAAAACATAATCATTATTGGTATGACAAATGTGTGTGATGTAAATATAATTATATAGGAAACTTTTTCACTCAAATATGCCTCGCATTCTTCATATTTTGAACATTTTAATATAAGAACAATTAAAATTGAACAAGCATAAACAAATATAATAACAATAATTAATGAAAACATTTGTCGAGAGAAGGATATTGTTGCATCTAAATGAAAAAGAAAATTGATGTCGTTCTAAACTTGCTCACATTAAAAGATAAGCAAGTCCAGCAAAAATGACATAACTATGAATCAAAAATACAATACAAAAAACTGCAGAAAAAATAAACTAAGAAAGATAAACATCAACATAAAAACTAGGTGCATGAGAAACAGAATTACATAAACAAAAAACAAAATAACATATGATGATAAATGTAATTAATATGAGTACATAAATTATTTTGATGGAAAAAACGTACTAAACTAAGGATACTAAATATGGTTCCAATCAACGAACTAACTTCTATTGTTATAGACAAATACCAAGAAAATTGAACAGAATTATGTTCATTATTTTCATCAAATGATAATAATGAATTATTAGAACTTCTATTATTCATAATTATTAAATAAAAAAATCAAATGAAGAAATAATGAAAAAAAACAATGTTTGATGCATTTATTCATATTATTATATGGTTTGTATATGTTTGATGAAAATGTTTCGTTCACTTTGTTCATCTTCATCTAACTGATTAATGTTTGAAATGAAAGAAATAGTAAAAAGTAAGAGTAAATTAGTCGTAATTGTTCGCATTATCTTAGTGTCACTTGAGGAAATGACAGGCACGTATGAGAACGAACAAAGATTAAAAAAAAGAAAGTGTATTTTTCTGACTAATTACATAGATTTCTGAAGTTATATCATTTTTTATAATATTTTTTACTTAACACATCTTATATAGGTAAAATTATTCAAAACATAAATAAATCACAACAAACGAGATCGCAGTCTATTCCAGTGCTTATTTGTGTTTGTATTTATATGGAATTAAAATGAAATAGTCGTCAATATTGTTTCGAGTCATTATTCTTATTTTTTAAAGTTTGTATTGTTGTTCTATTTTATAGTCATTGAATATATTTCTTGATTAATAATTGTATTTTTGAAAGTAAAAAAGAAAAAAAAGAAATCTTTCTAACATGGTTATAATAGCATAAAAACTGGCAGTATAAAGTAGACGTAGAGTAGAAAAGAACGGAAAAAAAAGAAATGCGCCCAACGTGGGGCTCGAACCCACGACATTGAGATTAAGAGTCTCACGCTCTACCGACTGAGCTAGCCGGGCTTGCAAACTTGTGTTACAAATCACAGTAGCATTCATCATAATTTTATTAATTGAAATAGATTTGAACATAGTATATGACTTTTGAACACTAGATGCTCGATTTTTACTACCTTTTCTGCATATTAGAATGTTCCAAAAACTATTTTCATACATTTCTAACCACTATGTCTGTTTCTAGAAATCTATGAATCGCTTCGGACTTGATAATTTTACTTGTCAATATGAATTTTTGTGAAAAATAGAGGAAAAACTAGCTTTTATCATTTTGACTTGTATTTTCATAATGCAATAACGTTTTATTGCTCGGTAAATACAAATGAATCTAAAAAAATCTTTTTAGATGTTTTGTTTTCGATACCTTCATTATTAATCATATTTGTGGCGAAGGATATGAAATTGAAAATTTATTCATTATTAATTGTACAACTTAAATACAATGATTTATCATATTTATTACAAGAATCTTTCCTAATTTATTGATTTTTAAGAATAATGTATACTATGCGTTCAGTGAAATTTGAAATGAAAATCCTTAAAATTGAATTTTGTTCTGAGTCAATTCTATAAGAGAAAATTTGTGAGTAAACTAAGGTCACTATTATAGTCAGTTTGCTATAAATATTTGTATATGCCCGGCTAGCTCAGTCGGTAGAGCGTGAGACTCTTAATCTCAATGTCGTGGGTTCGAGCATAATTTATTCGAAAATAATCAAATATATTTTAGTACCAACTAATATAAAAAGAGTCCTCTGTGACAGATGATAATCGAACGATTACACCCCACGTTGGGCGTTGTGTTTACATTTTTCATTTTTTCCAATTGTTTTCATTGACGATAT